TTTTTTTTTTTTTCCTACCTAAGCTGAGAGCCTTGAGAGGCTATTTCAGCGTAACCCTAACTTTTGTAGGTGAGCTCACGGGGCTCAAACCTGATGACGTTGCTAACACGAACCCTAGCAAGAGCCGTGCTTCGCAGAATCTACCACCGGATCGGAAACGCGACCCACTGAGAAGATCCGGCGAGAAACTCAGTGGGCTGTGTCTGAGAGTTAATTTACTCGTCGAGCCCTTCTTCGCAAGCGACGGGTTCGACTAGAACGGTAACCGGTGCTTGAAGTACCTAAAAGCACCGTTAGTGGATCGGGAGGATCCGAGATGACGTGTTTAGGTCGACGTCGACTGCTTTCCATTCTGTCCGCAGGATCGGGAATGTAGTTACCGGCGGCCACGATGAGAGGGTTCTCGTGTCGTGCCGCTTTATCGAAGTGGCGCATCGACGCCGACTGAAGATACTTACTGATGGACTCTAAGTCCAGGTCGTCATGGGTTATAAATGTTCAGACTATACACTTAATTAACTTTTTTTTTTTTTTTATTGCTTAGATGGTTGGACGAGCTCACAGCCCACCTGGTGTTAAGTGGTTACTGGAGCCCATAGACATCTACAACGTAAATGCGCCACCCACTTCGAGATATAAGTTCTAAGATCTCAGTATAGTTACAACGGCTACCCCACCCTTCAAACCGAAACGCATTACTGCTTCACGGCGGAAATAAGCGGGGTGGTGGTACCTACCCGTGCGGACTCCCAAGAGGTCCTACCACCAGTAACTTTGAATAAAAACACTTTGACCCCCCAAAAAGCGGTACCGTCCGACGACGGTTCGAACTCCCCTGTAGTTCGGAGTGCTATCAGCGTACTTATCCAAACGAAGTGTGAGGTAGTCACCGAAGGAAACTAGTTTGGCTTTGCCGGTGAGCGGCGGTAATCACCCACCATTAACGGGGCCGTACGCTGTCAAAACTTCAAATTTTTATTTTTTTTATTCTACTTGAATGTAAATGAGCATTTCTCAAAATAAATGCACCACCAATAGAATAATGTACTAAAATAAAAATGTTAAATTAAAGTATTTTTTTTGTTTTCATTTGTAGATAGGTGTCTAAAGATTTTGAATATGAGGTTTGTTGTGAGGTTTAATATGTAATAAAGTAGAGAAATGTGTAGAAATATACCAAGGGCGGAGAAATATTCTTATTTTGTTACCGTATATCAATTACGTTAATTAAAACACCAAATCAATTTCGTCAACTTTTATGCATTTTAATAGGGTGACATAACCATCATTTTACGTGTCTATAAAAAACTGTTAACATTTACAGCAAAATGTTACTTATATAAGTTGTAATATATCCTTTACGTTACCATTTGCCCACAACATAGTTTTAAAATCACAGTAAAGAAGTTTTGATGTTGTTTTATTTTTAAATACGTTCACAAATGAAATAACAATACAGTTCTTTTGCTTTTTTTAAAAAAATTGCAGGTTTTAAGATAATAAATAAAAATTTTGTACAGAAATACATGTCCGCTTTTATGGGACAGTAACAAAAATGGAATACTGGTAACAAAGTAGGATTTTATAAGGCTAGTTTTCGAAGTAGTTCAAATTATAATAAACTTTGACCCATGTTAAAAATAATTATAATTATATATGTAGATTATAGTATGAACTGCTGTCAAAGGACATTTAAACATTTTTCGTTTAAAAAATACCCTATTCAAATATTTAGGAACATTTACGAGTAGGTAACAAAAATATCGTTTCAGTTCTTTTTTAATCATAATGAAAAGGAGGCCTAACGGTTTCTAATTCAGTAAAAACCTTTAATAGCAATAATCACATTCATCGGCTGGATAGTGATCGTATAAATCAATAATCACATCTTTGGCACCAGAAAAATGGACAACGTAATAATATTTTTATTTCTACAGCGTTCATACTTGATACAAAATGCAGCGGATTATTAGACGAATCTGGAATAACATATCGGTGCCTTGATAAAATGTGTCGAAGAAAAAGGCCATGATAGGCCAAGGTGTAAACACAGGCACGCCACTTTTGTTTTTGTTTATTTTTTTTGTCTTCTGACATCTCACTTACTGATTTATATAAATATTTAGATTTTATCCTTTCTATGTTTCGTATTCGCTGCTCCTCCATCTTTTGTGGATTTTCTTTAAGTCTTTCGCGGTAGCGCCTCATTTTTTCAGCAGAGGTTAGAGTCGAACCCGTCGCTTGCGACGAAGGGCTCGACGAGCGAATTAACCCCATAGACATAGCCCACTGAGTTTCTCGCCGGATCTTCTCAGTGGGTCGCGTTTCCGATCCAGTGGTAGGTTCTGCGAAGCACTGCTCTTGCTAGGGTCAGTGTTAGCAACTCTCCGGTTGAGCCCCGTGAGCTCACCTACAAACGTTAGGGTGAAGCTGAAATAGCCTCTCAAAGCTATCATCAGCATAGGTAGGAAAAAAAAAGTGTTAGTGTAAAAGAACCCTGTTTTTACGTTACCCAGAACAACAGATATTTTGAAATTTAGCCCACCACATCAGAAGGAATATCATGCAGTAGTTCTCTCTTTAATATGATCGCACTTTTAGATTAAAACAAGCAGATATTTAAAAGCCGCATTTGTTTTTAAATAAACTAATCAAACTGATAGAAAAATACTAACAAAAAACTCCCAATCTATTTCATAGTACAAATCTGTAATAGTACAACAAAAAAACAAAGAAATTGACGCCGTTGTAATTGCAATAATTATTATAAAATTATTTTAAACAGAAAGTTAAATAATAATAATAATATATTATATATACTCAGCCTAATGATTTCCTATTTTGTTACTCTCTTTTCCATTTATACGTTACCACACAAAAGTAACAAAAAAAGAAGTAACAAATCAAGAACAACATGTCATTTTATTTGTAAACACATGCAACTCACACGATTACTCTTATTTCGATTTGATTAACGAAATCAAGAATGGGAGCTTTAATAGTAGGTTAAGTGAAATAACAATAAAATCTGCACTTATCTATGTTTTATGAGTAACAAAGGTGGAATTTTTTTTTGACCGCTAGCTTAAATATTGACTTTTACCGTTCGTACCGGCACCAGAAAGAACTAGTCGAAATTAAAACAAGACGGATGCCAAGCCGGCTAATGCTACCATTATTCTAAAATATAATTGCATTAATCGATTCTCATATTTCTTCAGAATTATGGTAACAAAAACTGGAATTTCTAGGTGGAACTTTTTACGGGACAAGTTAAAATCATTAATTAGAAATTTAATTATAAAGTAATGCTAAAAAGGATGTTTTAGGATGAATTGTGACTTATGGCTATAAATAAATAATATTTTTTATTTATACAATGCCCATGTCCATTCAACTAAAGATCGATGGTTTGGTAAGATATTGAGATTGGGACACTGCACTTTTCATACAACTGGTTGAAGCTGATTTATGATATATATTTTTAATGAAAAAATCTCATTGTATTTATATCTGTTTTTTTCCTTTCTAATAAGTAGAGTAGTTATACTGCTTACACAATTTATAAAAAGTAGTAATGAACTAATATATTAGCCGGAACAAAATATTAAAAAAATGGGACAGAGGCTAAAGTCTATTGTGCAATAATTTTGAGAAATGCTCAAATACTTGTTGAACGTCAAAAAGAACTACTGCCAATTCACAAAAACTAGCCTCCGTCCTGAGAAGAACTAGCAAGAAAAACAGCGGGCATGTCTTTTTTTTAAATATTAGTTTTTTTTTTAATATGTATTACATTTTTGTAAATATTTATTTTTACAAGAGGTATTAGAACGTAACAACTATTGCAATATTGAAATGCCCGGAGCGAGCAACTCATTCCCACTTTGTGCAATCTTCTAAATAATTTCTAAGATTCTATCCACCACGTATAACAATAAAAACACATCGAAATTATTAAATCATTCATTTATTATTTTGTATAAAAATCATTTCATAAGATTGTTCGATACAACACTAAAACTGCGACAAAACAACACATTACTAAGGTCTATAGTTACTTTCTACAAATTAAGTAAATAAACACTAGTTCAACAGGTACAGTGTTCTGAGTACGCAATGTAACTCGGCCGGAGCAGTCCATTGCGGCGCTGCTATTCAAATACAATCGCGACCTACCCACCTGAAGGAAATGCGGTCATTCAATATGTGACCCTGTGGTTTTACTATATCGTACCTTTAGAATTGAAGTAGCTTAATCCAGAATACTTGTTTTCTTTTTTTGTAAACGCCAAAAATGTAATTGAATTGTATTTTTTTTATAATTTGTCGATTTTAATACTTTAAGACAGAGCTGTTCGAACTACATGCCTTTTCGGGCGAATTAAATTCAGTACAAAAGCTGAAGGGCCGCAAAAATATATAGGTATTTGTAAAAATAAAATAATTTCCAGACAAAAAAATATGCGAGAAGATAGCTTTACTTTTAAATAATGTCATGGGAATCGAATGTTACAAGAATAAAGATAGATTATACCAAATATAGATTCTATGTTTTGACAAATAATTCTATTATCCAATACTATTTTCTGATCAAAACATACGTCGCGGGCCGCGTGATAACATTGTTTTTTGGGCCATTGTTTGGTTTTAAGATATGCGCTCGATTTTTAAGAGACGGAATTGAGTACTTTGTCCTTTTCCAGACTAAAAGATACCGTTTTTATAAACTGATGCACGTTTATGAGTCGTTCAAAGTATGAAAGTCATTTTGAAGTGAAACTTCTAATGCGACTCCCAACAAGGTTGCGTTAAACGTTTATCGCTACCATACTAGAAAGAGACAGAGCGAGAGTGAATGTGTAACACTCGAACGCATGCGCGTAGTGTACTTGTTACAGACCAGCGTGAGCGTTACTACACATCGAAAATAACTTAATAACTAAAATACTTTGTCACGTACCATCCGGCTTTGGAATGAACTCCCCTCCAAGGTGTTTCACGAGCGCTATGACATGTCCTTCTTCAAACGAGGCTTGCGGAGAGTACTTAATGGTAGGCAGCGGCTTGGCTCTGCATTGCCGACGTCCATGAGCGACGGTGACCACTTACCATCAGGTGGGCCATATGCTTGTCTGCCTACAAAAGCAACAAAAAAAAAGAAGTTTCACTTCATTCAAGTACCACGCGTATAATTTTTTTTTTAATATTACCACAATTCAATTCTAAAGGTATGGTATCTTGATTTTAGAGTAGCTATATTTTGGTCGATTTTCGCGAATCGCAAACATAAGTAAAATTACTTTTACTGTTTCACATTGACTGGTCAGTCTTACGTGACCCCATAAACTGTTTTCGTAACGTTGGCAACAATATAATGACAAAAGATATTGAACTATAAAAGTAGTCTTTAAATCTTGATGTCACTTATAATCGATAAAAATTGATAAATTAATTGCTAAATTCGTAACGTAGGGCCTCTTGTGAGCCCACATATGTATGTAAGTTTACGTACAAAATGTATCACGTATTAATTAAATTTGTTTTCTATTAATAAAAATAGTGTCCGAACTACGAAGCATTTTTAACAAAATATTCTTTGAACTGCTGTTTACAAGAATAATAATCTTAGAAAAATTAGATTGCGTTTCTCGGTGCGAACTACCCTCAATTTAAGAAAATTGCTAATGCTAATGGGGCAAATTTTAATTCACTTATAAGATTCTATTGAAAAAGAAAATATAAGGTAATTGACGAATTCTTGTTCCAAAATTACTTATTTCATAAACGTAGCGTTCATTTTCTATTTCTTCATCAAGATTTCTCCTTTTATTTTCTAATTTATTCTAGTCCTATATAACACCTATGTATCTACTATTCTTTGGTCCTTCATCTAGTGAAGAATTAAATTCACTACTTTCAACTCAACCAATCATGACTTTTATTTACGATCTTCAAACTGTATGTACGAGGATGTCAGTGCCTATGTTTCTGCGAGGGTCGGGCACAGGGGACGCCGGTGTGCGGCCTCGCGCTCGGATCCGCGAACTCGTTGGAGCCGCTGGTGGTCGTGCGAAGACTGCCGTCAGACGGACTGAGGGTTCAAACTCATTATTACAGATAGTACTTATTGAAGTGAAACTTCTTTAGGCGCGTTTAGAGGAAAAGTTAACTCGCGACAGATTCGTTACGGCTAGAGAGAAAAGATACAATTTAGGATGAGCGAGAGTGAGAAAATAGACAGAGCGTCACGCGGACCACTCGACTATAGAGAAAGAAAAAGGACAAAGCGAGCTACGTCGTTTCTCTTATACACAGCGTTCCTTATTACAAGAGAAATTTAAGGATGAAAAATGACGAAAACCACAAAACTACATACACACCAAAAAAGAAGTTTCAATTCTTCCACGTGCACCAAGTTGCACGCGCGACATTTTTTTATTTACTATTCAGTAGATATATTTAAATAATTGAACCAGCTATAAAACAAATTATTGAACGGGCTAAAGTATTTTTTTTAACGATAGAAGGGTACCTTTCCAACGATGCACTACGAATATACGCACCTTGGAGTCAAAACGTCGACATCCACGTTTTGTAGACATATCCACTGCGGAGACAAGCCGGCTCCCGGCTCGGCGCGGTCCAATGTCCCGTTGTATATGAGAAGATCATCCATTAAAACCTGATAGAGATTTATGAAGTGAAAACTTCTTTAGCATCGTTGTGATTTGAAAGTCGATCAAACGAAAAATCGACAGTATAAAGAGACAGACACATAAATTCGTAAGATTTAACGTGGGAGAAAATGAGATAAGTATCATACAGTGTTTCTTATATTCGTGGTTCTCTTTGTGCTCTGCTTCGTACCTAACATCCGTAATTAATACATTCTAAATAAATATCTGTAATATATACGAATAAAATGTATAATAACATAATTATCAAACTTTGTATCACTATGATCATTACTAAAACTTACAATACCTCTTCTCGAAAATTTACATTCGTCTCATGAACTTTTAGCCAAAATTTTCAAGGTTTCACTTCTACCACGTGTGAATTGCACACGTGTTTTTTTAAGTAAGCTTTCAAAGGCAATATTGCGTAGAAAACTCACAGCTATAGAATATGCAATCTATGAACGCTGTGCACAACGCTAACGGTAGCGAATTATCATTGGACCGAATGGTAAACAGCGACGTCACCCTAAACACGTCGTTACGGATCCTCCCGATTCACTAACGGTGCTTTTAGGTACTACAAGCACCGGTCACCATCCTCGCCCAACCCGTCGCTTGCGACGCAGGGCTCGACGAGTAAATTAACCCTCAGACACAGCCCACTGAGTTTCTCGCCGGATCTTCTCAGTGGGTCGCGTTTCCGATCCCGTGCTAGATTCCGCGAAGCACTGCTCTTGCTAGGAACAGTGTTAGCAACACTCCCGGTTTGAGCCCCGTGAGCTTACCTACACGCAAGGAGAAGCTAAAATAGCCTCTCAAGGCTATCAGCATAGTTAGGGAAAAAAAACTAATTGTGTTCATTTTTCGATGGCTCTTAACCTGTTAACGTTATCAACTGAAAGCTTATATCTACAGGTTAGTTGCCCCCCAAAAGAAAACAAAACTTGCCCCAAATTCCTTAACGCCCCTCGACGGCGTCTTCCCGTAGTTCCATATCTTGAGCCCGTAGACTGAGACCGGGATGTCGAACACGAAAAACACCCTGAAACCGTTTGTTAGATTTTGTCGCCACATACAAATCAATATTGATGTGGATCGAATCTGTACGACTGTTTTATTATGATATTGGATGTGACCATCACCCTGTCTATTTCTGTCGTGAAGCAGTAACGCGGTTCGGTTTGAAGGGTGGAGCAGCTGTTGTAACTTTACTGAGAACTTAGAACTTATATCTCAAAGTGGGGGGCGGCATTTACGTTGTAGATGTCTATGGGCTCCAGTAACCACTTAACAACCAGGTGGGCTATGAGATCGTCCACCAAACTAAGCAATAAAAAAAATTAGAAAAAGAAAAGAAAATAAGAAGAGGGTAGTTACAGTTTTTTTTTAAATTACAATATAAATATTGAACTAGTGAACCGGTGATGTATGATCGCGGTGTATTCCCGGGTGATCATAGGACGAACTATTGCTGGGTATTAATTAAATTCTCAGATCTCTAAGTTCAGGCATCATCTGCTGGTCTGCTGGGGTAAGTTCATAAAAACGAAACTACAGCGTATCTCACCTGTTAAGCGTATTGGGCAGTAGCGGGGCTAGCCACGAGTGTGCCCCGTCACCGACACTGTCATTGTTACCGTCGATAAGCTTGTCCGGAGTCCGCACGTCTAATGCCCTAGAGTCGAGCACGTTCACGCTGGCCGGATGAGCGCAGACGTCTGGTGACGACAAACGGAAGGAAATCTTTCGGAGTTCTTGGAAATAATAATCAAAAACTACCCTCGAGTTTGTGACCGGGAAATTGGACAAGACTTGAAGTGGTAGACTAAATAATTGGCTTGTAAAATCGTAAAGCTTGCAAACAATTTATACGTGCTCAACATATCTTAAGACTGATATTCGACAAGCATTATGTAAACTTATACAACTGTGATACTCAAGTAGTCATGCGATTTGTTGGAATTTTGCTTTAGAGCATGGGTTCCCAATTCCCATTTTTTCACCTACTTAAAAACCACTATAGCGAGAGCTCAGTCAGTGTCTAAGAATCCTTCTAGACGAAATTACAAATCGCCTCCCAAGCCTCTACACAACGCCCGATTTTTTTCTGGGTCTCTTACCGCCCCCCTTTAGGCCTGCAGCGCCCACAAGGGGGCGTTATCGCCCACTTTGGGAAATGCTGCTTTAGAGAGACTATTTCATAAATAACAAAAAAAAACAATTGAATTCACCTAATAATATGTAATCTTAGACCATAGAGTTGGGTGAAGTGCATAACCGAATGACCAAAGATACTTGATCAAACCTTGGACAAACATATTAGACAAGTTAGATAAACATTACTATAGTGGGAGGTCCCCTAAATGAGTGCAGTAGAATGGCCTCGAGCAGGGAGAGATGGCGGGACATCGTGAGACGCGTCAAGTCTGCCCCTTCCAACACTAAATGACAAACACTGCTGTTACTGTTACACCTTACTACTGGCGGTAGGACCTCTTGTGAGTCCGCACGGGTAGGTACCACCGCCCTAACTATACTGTTGTAACTATACTGACACCTTAGAACTCATATCTCAAGGTGGGTGGCGGCATTTAGGTAGATGTCTATGGGCTCCAGTAACCACTTTACACCAGATGGGCTGTGAGCTTGTCCACGCTCTACGCAATAAAAAATAAAAACACGACCTCTCTGTCAAAAGTGACACGATTGAAAAAGAAGATAAACATTACAAAACTGACTGGTCTGCGTGACCGGCACGAGGTTTCCGCGGGGGTCGTACAGCTGTATCCCGGTCAGGCCGACGTAGTAGGGGTCGCCCCAGGTCGAGAATATGTTCAGCTGCAGTACGAAGCCGGTGGGAGCGCCCATGTCCAAGTTGGTGCCGTAAACCAGACAGTCCATGCGGAAACTGTCCGTATCCTTGGCGTCTTCGAATCTGTTGGATTTAGTTCGAGAAAAATCTTAAAATGCATGAAATATCATAGGTGTCAAGTGCATTCATTCACCTATAGACACAGCTCACTGAGTTTCTCGCGCGATCTTCTCAGTGGGTCGCGTTATAGATCCGGTGATAGATTCTGCGAATTGACCTCACCTCTACACGTTAGGATGAAGCTGAAATAGCGTCTCAAGGCTATCAGCATAGGTAGACAAAAAAAAAGTGAATTGTATGGTATAACGGCTGTGACACCCCTGGAAGCGGAATGCATTACTGCTTCAGAACAGAAATATTCAGGATGGTGGTACGTCCCGTGCGAGTTCACAATACGCCCTACCCCCACTCAATTCAATAATACTGCCTTAAATATTAATCTTGAAAGTGTGAAGACCCTCCACCAGAATAAATAAAAACAAATATTTCGGATAGTATTGACGTAGTATTCATAGAAAATACATTACATCAATAAAAAATACATTACACACTATCATGGATTTGACACACACGCATGCATACCTACTATTTGTTTATTGTCAAACTTTTCTTATTGCAGTCTGTGGCTAAATTGAGAATAGATTAAATCTTGTTTGCCTTTGTTAATATTTGTCTAAAGTGTAGTCTTGGCGGAATCTGTGATTATAGAAGTATAATGGTATTTGACAATAGAATCATAATGATGTACAAGCTTATAATTTCAATTAATTATAGTCGAATTTCGACCTACTAATTAACAGGACCAGTTTGTGGTCTCTGTCAATTTTTGGGGTCTTTAGTGGTGTACAGTGATCTTTACTAGAGCTGCTATACGGAGTGATGTGGGCTACTTCTATTGGTGGGTGGCGTCTCTAAAGAGACGGTCGTGTGACGTCACCTGTCGTCGACGGAGGCCAGGTCCAGGTGCTGCACGTAGTCGTAGTGGGCGTGTCCGGGCGCGCGGCGCAGCAACACCGGCCGGTAGTGCAGCTCTGACCCGTCCAGACTAACCCTGAGGTGCTTCGCCCCCATGTATGACAGCTCCATATTCGCGTTGTAGTTCCATATTCGGATGCCTACAGTATTAAGCTACTTTCAGACTACGCTATACTATAGTGCAATATAGTATAGCAGCCTATACTTAGCCAATAATATACAGTACAGTCGTTTTTTTTTCCCTACCTAAGCCTTGAGAGCCTATTTCAGCGTAACCTTAACTAGTAGGTGAGCTCAAGGGGCTCAAACCGGAGTGATGCTAACAGTGACCCTAGCAAGAGCAGTGCTTCGCAGAATCTACCACCGGATCGGAAACGCGACCCAGTGAGAAGATCCGGCGAGAAACTCAGTGGGCTGTGTATATGGGTTAGTTCGCTCGTCGAGCTCTTCGTCGCAAGCGACGGTTTCGAAGAGAACGGTGACCGGTGCTTGTGGTACCTAAAAGCACCGTTAGTGGATCGGGAGGATCCGTAAAGACGTGTTTAGGGCGACGTCGACTGTTTACCATTCGGTCCACAGGATTGGGTATGATACAGTAGTGTGAACGTGTCCATAACATGTATGGCGCGCGATATTATTGTGTTATGGGCTATATACCATATGCTATTTATTATATTACAGCGTAGTCTGAAAGCGGCTTTATTAATCAGGTACTAATGAGGTTCTCGCAAAAGTGTATTTATGACCTTCAAACCAGGTTTTACGAGCATTTAGCGATATAAAACGACTATTGGCTTGGTCCATAAGAAAAATTAAACACTTTTTTCCCCTAACTATTCGCTAGCAGTCTAAGAGGCTAATCCAGCTACGCCTGGACGAGTGAGTTCACGGGCTCAACTTGAGAGAATATGCTAACATTAGTCCCAGAATGAGCAGTGCTTCGCAGAATCTACCGCCGCTACTGAGTAGATCCGACGAGAAACGCAGTGGGCGTTAAACAATATTGATAGGTACACAATAAAGGCGAGTCGAATTATCAAGTGCAACAGCATAAATATACATAACAGTATGTCCCATGTCGTAAATGTCCATATCATACCCGAATTTAAGTAAATCCGTAATCAAAAAACTTTGTAATTTCATTTCATTACACGGTGATACTCCCACATCGCAGAGGTAAAGGATGCACTGTATACGAAAGACTAAGGACAAATAGCATCCAGCATAACAAAGAAAAATATGAGGAGGTTCTCAATTCTAAAGTATTTATGTGTGTTACTACTAAGTGACCCTATTTTGAAAATCATTTTTTATTTATAAACTGGTTCTTCTCATATTAATCCTGTTAAATTTAAATTTTATCAACATAATATGACCGGTAGTTTTTCTGTTATCCTTAATTTTTATTGACTACACATTTATGATGATACCTCATTTTATTGTATTAAATCCGATTTGATTTTTTTGTGAAAAAATAAATTTAGTTACATTATTGTCACATTTCAATTGTTTTGCACACGAGAAAAGACTACGTACTTGTAATCTCGGTAGGTTCTGCGAGCTGGATGACGATATGACAGAACTTGGTATCGGCCGAGAAGCTCGCGCACCACATGTCCTCGTGATCAGTCGTAATGTTCCTCGCGTTGAACAGCGCCGAGCACTCCACCGTGTCAAGGGCGTCGGAGTTTTGGGCTGCGTTTATGAAGGTCGAATACGCGTAGGCTCTGCGCACTACGATCGGGTCATCGTTGTAAAGAATTTCGATACCTAGAAAATCATTTTTTTTTTATTGCTTAGCTGGGTGGACGAGCTCACAGCCCACCTGGTGTTAAGTGGTTACTGGAGCCCATAGATATCTACAACGTAAATGCGACACCCACCTTGAGATATAAGTTCTAAGGTCTCAAGTATAGTTACAACGGCTGCCCCACCCTTCAAACCGAAACGCATTACTGCTTCACGGCTGAAATAAGCAGGACGGTGGTACCTACCCGTGCGGACTGACAAGAGGTCCTACCACCAGTAAAAAGTGTGACGTAAATTCTGACAGCACAACGCACAATATTTATCTTTAGTCTTGTAACCTAACTAGCTGTACCCGTCCGCTTCGCTGGGCATTTAAAATTAACATTATTATTTCTCACCCCCACAAAGATTCTCATCATTAACGCCCCCGCAACTGGTGTAGGGAGTCCAACTCTCGTATAAATATTAAGCCTATCCATTAATTACATGTATTTTCTACATGGATACCATGTTTAAAGTTAATCGGATGCATGGTTCAGTAGTTATAACGGAACATCCGTAAAAACCACTGTACATTTATATATTAGTATAGATATAGATGTAGAAGTCTACACTAACACTGGAAAGTTATTGAATTTGTAATATACAGTGGTGGTCGTATGATTAGAAAAACTACGAACAGTCCTTTACATTGTGTAAGATACTTTTTTTTATTGCTTAGATGAGTGGACGAACTCACAGCCGACCTGGTGTTAAGTGGTTACTTGAGCCCATAGGCATCTACAACGTTAATGTCGAGAACCACCTTGAGATATGAGTTGTAAGGTCTCAGTATAGTTACAAAGCTGCTCCACCCTTCAAACCGAAACGCATTACTGCTTCACGGCTGAAATAGGCATGGCGGTGGTACCTATCCGTGCGGATTCACAAGAGGTCCTACCGCCAGTAATACTTCACCGCAATCATTTTATTTTGAAAATAAACAACATATAGGACAACAATATGCTCAACGATTTATCATATATTAGAAAAACAATATAAATCCCACTACGCAAGTGCAGTTTCAATATTACATTACGGACAAGCATTTAAATCAGTTTTAAGGTATAAACAATAATGGTCAACTAATTAGAAACAACCTTAATTAGTATCTATTCCGTTGCGTCTTATATCAAAGAGGGAAGTGAATTGATAAATTGATGTATATTTATAAATTTTATATTTCCTATCAGAATATCAGATAATAGAAAATAAACAACTGTTACATAATATTTTATGTAATGATATAAGATTGTTGTGTGTGAACTGTTACATAATAATTAATCCTCATTTTATTTATTACAAATGCCAAAGAAAATGTAAATAAGCAAATGATACATAAATTCAACCCGTGACATAAGGTCTTCGGTAGTATAGTGGTCAGTATCCCCGCCTGTCACGCGGGAGACCGGGGTTCGATTCCCCGCCGGAGAGTTTTTTTTTTGTAATTTTTTATTATATAAAATTAGCTTAAAAATACTCGAATTCGACTTTAAAAGCTATTACGTTTTGCTACTTTTTTTTTAGTTGGAAATAATTCGTACGACGTCACAGTTGTAGTTCACTTAACACAGCAAAAGAATAATTGGTAAATACGAATCGTTGGATTACATTTTTTCCTACCTAAGCTGGCAGCCTTAGAAGGCTATGCCAGCATCACCGGACGAGGTCGTTCGATAGAGAATTTTGTACCGATCTTCGAGCGTATTTATCACATAACCTAGAGTCGCCACGCCCAAGTTTCTGTATCTGCCCAACAAACAGAAGAATCTTGAACCAATACCAATCAACACCATTTGTTGCTTCATAGCGGCTTGACACCTTGTTAGAGGAGGTCTGAAAGTGGCATCTGTGACAGAGAAGTTGAGAAGTGCGCGTTTGGGATGGTATGGACGTGTGATGAGACGTAATGAAAATGAGGTTGTTGAGTGAGTTTTAACTAGTAATTATTATTTTTTATTTATTTATTATGTTTATATTTAACTATTATTTTTTATTTACAGTTTTAACATTTAAATTTAATTTATTTATTTTTCCGTTGTTTGTAAAATTTCTGTAACATGTCATAGTGTGTTATAAGAGATTGCTGTACATGCCTGTAAGTGGCTTACATACCAGTACTTAATTTTATACTTGTTAATTTTTAGCTTGAATGTTTTGTGTGTATTGCTGTTGGTGTGTCTAAATAAATAAATGAACTATGAATATGGAAGGCTTTAGAGGAAGAGGTAGAACCTAAGTAAAAATGGATGGATTGCGTGAAAGACGGTATGTGTAAGAGGGGAGTGAGCGAAGCAACGGTATATGATAGAGGAGGATAGTAGGAGAAAACTTGTTGCGCCGACCCCAGGTGACTGGGAGAAGGGCAGAAGAATGATGATGACACCGTATTATTGGAAATTTATTATTCTAGTCTTCAAACGCTTACCAGTTAGTCCGATCAAATTCTTCTGACCCCAGTTCGACATGAGCGTCAGTTTAATTTCCTTTGCCATATATTTGGCTTCTCTCTCATTATCCTCTAAAGAGTCGAGCAAAGCATTAGGGCTCAAGTTGTGTTGGCTATCATTAGCTGTCGTCGGTCGCTTGTCAATTGCACTAGGATCTGTCATCGGTTCGCTATCTTTGAGTAATACTTTGAAATTCTTGTCGTTATCCATAACCGCTTCTAAGATAAGAGGGTCTTTCGTGAAGAGAATCATCTGTGAAAGTTTTGGTTGATCAACAAATATTATTAATTAAGTGTAAGAGCTGGAGGTAGCTCGGCCTAATTTGGTTTAAAATCTAGTACATTATGAAAGAGTCGTGGCTTAGCGGTTAAGAAGCCCGGGCATTCGTATCGAGCGATGCGACTGCCTATGTTCGAATCCCGTAGGCGGGTACTATTTTTTTTTATTGAAATACCTACCATCAAATGCTCACGATGGACTACCACAGTGAATGAATAACATCATTTGCGTATATTGGTTCAGTAATTGGTGGTAGGGCGTCTTGTGACCCAACACGTGTAGGTATCATCACCCTGCCCATTTCTACCGTAATGCATTTCGGTTTATTGGGTGAGGCGTTCGGCATTTACATTTTTTTTTACAACGGCTCGGTATAGTTACAACGGCTGCTCCGCCCTTCAAACCGAAACGCATTACTGCTTCACGGCAGAAAATAGGCGGGGTGGTGGTACCTACCTGCGCGAACTCACAAGAGATCCTACCACCAGTTTTATTTGAATATCAACTAAGACGAACAGAGTAATGGCTCAGAAATGCATTTACGATATGTATAAATGTTCGTACAGGATCAGGGTTGATTAAAACTTACGTCGCCGAACGAAGACAAATGCCCGGTCAGTTCACCGCTGGCTCGGGCTATTTCCCCGTGAAACACGACTTGGTCGTCGAGTTTTACTTGAACAAGCCTTATCCCTCGGATCGAATGAATCCGCGATTTGTTGTAGTTCTACGAATGTGAAAAAACGAAGAATAGCTTATCAATAAAACTATGGTTTCCAAATATTATTATTGTTATTCCTTACTTAGAATACATTTTCCTTTATCAGTGAAAGAGGCATAAACCAAAAAAAAAAAATTGCCTTCTTGAAAATTTTAATACACAGCGTGTTACAACCCTGTTTTAAGACACTGGAGGAGAGTAATCTAGTGTTAGAAGGGTTTCCTTATTCAATTAAATTCCCTTTTCCGCGTTTTATATTGCCTAAAAACCTGTCTTTGTATGTGCAAGTTTTAATGTCGTAATATTTTTCTTTCCGAAATTTGGTCCACGTGATCCACTATGATGATATATTTTCATAACCTAGTATTTTCAATAGGATCAGAACAGCTGTATATTATGTAATATTCAATATTAATAATTCTAACATAACATTGAAGTCTCAATAGCACTGATACAAACTTTGGGGAGATATATACTAAGATTAAAATCTTCCATTAAACAGGTGATATTGGCTGATAGGTTCATGTTTAGTACATGTATCTTGTATATTATTATATTAAGCTTATCTTTGATAAGTCGTTAACTCGACTTCTTACTCGACTCGACTCTTACTCGAGGCTCTTATCTAATATCTTCAATTCTATGGTAGCTGCCTCCACTCAACGCAATTTAGAAGTTTTTTTTTTTTTTTTTTTCCTACCTAAGCTGAGAGCCTTGAGAGGCTATATCAGCGTAACCCTAACTTTTGTAGGTGAGCTCACGGGGCTCAAACCTGACGATGTTGCTAACACGAACCCTAGCAAGAGCCGTGCTTCGCAGAATCTACCACCGGATCGGAAACGCGACCCACTGAGAAGATTCGGCGAGAAACTCAGTGGGCTGTGTCTGAGAGTTAATTTACTCGTCGAGCCCTTCGTCGCAAGCGACGGGTTCGACGAGAACGGTGACCGGTGCTTGAAGTACCTAAAAGCACCGTTAGTGGATCGGGAGGATCCGAGATGACGTGTTATGGGCGATGTCGACTGCTTTCCATTCTGTCCGCAGGATCGGGAATGTAGTTACCGGCGGCCACGATGAGAGGGTTCTCGTGTCGTGCCGCTTTATCGAAGTGGCGCATTGACGCCGACTGCATATACTTACTGGTGGACTCTAAGTCCAGGTCGTCATGGAGGTCGACGTTCCTGACGAACCACGGGGCTCCGACGGCTATCCTGCAAAAACGGGATTGAATGACTTGGAATGATTTTAAGTGTATGCGGGCCGCGTGAGCGAACACTACACTTGCATAGGTCATGACGGGGCGTATGCAAGTTTTGTAGAGTGTCACCTTATTTCTAAGGGACATTTTACTTCGCCTACATATCATCGGGTAGAGACGTCCTAGAATGAAGGCGGCACGGTCGCGTACCGTCTTGATGTGGGGGCGGAATGTCATCCTACTGTCGAGGGTGACGCCTAAATATTTGACCTTCGGGGCCCACGGTATGGGCTGGTCGAACATCGTGATTGGGCGAACGGCGGGGGCGGGGTTATTGACGCGCCTAGTCGGGAGAGGGATGCTCAGCGTGGTGTTCGGAGGGCGACCCCTTTTGAAGAGCACCGCTGTGCTTTTCGTGGGGTTAATGTCGATGCGCCACTTCCGGAACCACTGTCCCATGGTGGTAGCTGCGGTCTGAAGTCGTCGATGAAGCAACGCCTTCTTCCTACACGAGTAGTAGATGGCGGTGTCATCGGCGAAGAGCGCCAGATGGGTCTCCGGAGACCGGGGTATATCGTTGATATACAAACTGAATAGTAACGGGGAGAGGGCGGAGCCTTGCGGGACTCCGGCTGTGACGTGACGGGGCCGGGAACGCGTTCCCTCGACTCGATATCGGAACGAACGGTTCGACAAGTAGTCTCGTATGATGAGCACGAGTCTGTCTGGCACTCCCATGTTATACAGTTTGTATATCAAACCGTTGTGCCAGACTTTGTCGAACGCCTTCGCTATATCGAAGAAGAGGGCTCCTGTCGGAATGGGTTTCCGCCTGTTCAGCCCTAGTAAGATGTGCTCCGTGAGGCGGTGCACTTGATGGACGCACGAGTGTCTGGCGCGGAATCCAAACTGCTCGTCTATAAGAATTTTATTCGCGGATACGAAGTCCCAGAGGCGTTTACGAAGGAGCCGTTCGTGTTTAGAAGTGATAACGTGGTACCAATACAAGAGCTTAAATTATCTTACCACCGGTATTTAAAACCGGTACAATTAAAGTTAGCTATTAAAGCTTTCGCGGTAGGAAATTAGAAGTAATTACTGCTGCTTCGGAAGGGTAATAAGGCATAGCATATTCTGACTGATTTTAAATTCTAATTATAATTTTTTTTGATAATTTTATGGCCTGGTAACCTGGAGACGTTTAAGCCAAGTCATTTTCATAACACTATCAATCGCACAAACTATCATAAAACAGTTAAAGAACTGTTACGTCCTGTTAAATCTTTTCCCAAATACTAGGCCAAAAAATCTTCAAAAATTCTCTTCACAGGCTCCCACGGTTGCCAGTCTTGCTTTACGCTTAAACTGTGCCTTCACTACATAGTATAAAACAAAGTCGCTTTCTCTGTCCCTATATGTAACATCCATTAAACAGTGGAGAAATCAATAATAAATTACAGTTTCCGAAGCGAAGCGAGGGCGGGTCGCTAGTAGGTAATAAAGAGCATTTAAGCAGAGCGTTAATAATTGATCAGACCTATATTCGGAGCAGTGCAAGCTTGACTCTGAAGGCCAGTAGTAACGAGAGCACGTATACGTCCTATGAAATCTCTTCACGAGGACTAGATCACAAAGTCTTCAAAAATTCTCTTCACAGGCTCTCAGGGTTGCCAGTCTTGCTTTACGCTTAACCCATCCCCTCCGTCTGTCTTAGGTAATAAAGTGTATTTAAGCAGAGCGTTAATAATTGATCAGACCCATATTCGGAGCAGTGCAAGCTTGACTCTGGAGGCCAGTAGTAACGAGAGCACGAGCGGCGAGGCGGTCGGCGCGGCGGCGCACCACGCGTGCTTGTCGTCCCTACTGCGGACCACGCCGTCGCACACGGTCTCCACGCGTCCGTACAACGACTGATCACCCGTTTCTGAATCGCTCCAAATCTGAAGCAAATGAAGCGCGTAAAGTAATGTTACGCCGGCAAGAGTAACGCCATCTATCGCCGAACGAATATCGAACGATCTAAGGTAACATCTAGAATGCTCGAGAAGCATAACGCCATCTATGGTCAAATAGCGGAAACACACATCGAAAATACTCGACTTGTGAGAAATGTTCTCGACATATCTAGAGATGTCGTATCGACTATAAAAACGTTGCAGATATGGCACGCAGTCAGTTAGTAATCGGAACTACTCGAAGCGAAACAGCGAACGGATCACCTGAAGCGAAGCTGAAGAAGCGAATTGAAAATTTTAGTATTCTGTGAATGTTCTAAGTGTTAATACAGTGTTAACTTGTAATTCGGATAGAATTTTTATTTATCCCCAAATATCAGGGCATAACAATAATAATCACTGCTTAAAAGAATTCTTATGAGGAGCGGGCGTAATCAAAACCATTTTGCATGACATATCGATGTTTTTATTTAATTTTTTATTACATATATGGACGAGCTCATAGCCCACCTGATGTTAAGTGGCTACCGGAGCCCATAGACATCTACAACGTAAATGCCGCAACCCTCCTTGAGATATGAGTTCTAAGATCTCAGTATAATTACAACGGCTGCCCCATCATTCAAACCGAAACGCATTATTGCTTCACGGCAGAAATAGACAAGGTGGTGGTACCTACCCGTGCGAAGTCACAAGAGGTCCTACCACCATTAAGAAAATGTAATAAATAAAACATATTTCTTTAACCTGGATATAAGTATCTAAAACAAATAGTAGGGGGCAAGACACCCCAATTAGCTTACCTACAAGGATGTCTCATTTACTTATTTCTGAACAGAATTATATACCTAATTACCGTGCTACTCTAGACTTTATAAAACTTTATCTACAAACAAACAAAAAAACGATTAGAAGGAAAAGACCCTAAGTCCAGTTTGGAGATGTAAAATATTCTCACCTTTTCAATATCCACTATGCATCCGTTAGAATCAAACAGCTCTATACCATTCAGACCTACTAAATATTTATCACCCCAATTCGAGTAAATCTTCATTTCAAGCAGCCTGCCTTCTGGGAGCTCGGGGATCACAAATTCGCATTTATTTTTATCCTTTTGATAGATATTCGATTTTGAACTTAATGCCGTAGGATTTTTGGTTGTACATTTAACAGCAGATCTCTTCTTTACTGTGACGTGTTGAGAATTTACCGAGGGTTCGTTGGGATGTTTTTTACGAGGCTTATTGTCTTGTAGCCCTAAAAAACATTTTTTATCACTTGTTTGGTGAGAAGTTTATTATAGTACTAAAGTAAAGACTAGAGTATTACACTAGTCTCTTATCAAATTATACTGGATAGAAATAGGTTATATTATGTAATGCTGCTTTGTGGCTCATGTAATTTTGATTCATGATTTCGACTCTGTAACTGTTTATCTTTCAAGAGTTCTCGCGGTGATAATCTATGTTTTTGTGTAACAGCTTAGGGGAAGTCCGGGCATAGTGGATAGGCCAGGCAAAGTGAATACTCTTTATTTTTCGTCAAGAACATATCGGAACACGCGCGCCTCGTAACATTACATTCCCCCGCCCGTCCGCATTCGTGGGCAAACAGAGTTAACGGAGGCTTGCGTCGCGATCGAGAGAAAAATCGAAAAAACTAAATAGTGAAGTTTTCTTATTACTTTTCAAGGTACGTAATACTTTAATAACTCATATAAAAGTAAACCATATTGTTTAGTACGATTGTGCCCTTTAAGTGCATATTTTCAAGTATGAATTCTGAGAGTTTTGTTACTTTGTCGTCACCTAATTTGGTTTTGGATTAAGTTGAATGAAATGAATAAGTGTAAGGCAAAGTGATCACGGGCAAAGTGGATACGGTATTTGCTTTGCCCTGATGACTTTGTTGGGCATTCAATTTTTAATTTTTGTTTTAGATGGTATTTAAATAAAAGAAGAAATATCAACCAAGCCCATTGGAGTGAGAACTGTATGATGCTTGCGATAGCAGATTGATTCTATATTTCATTAGCAGATTTTGTCATTCCTGTGAAAACGACCGCAAAAAAGTATGGTCTATCTTAAGCCGCTCTTTATAGGCATTAGAAAAAAGGTAGTTCGACTGCTCGGCTTGGTCGTCTTCGTAAAGTTTAAAACGATGAACAAGAGGAAAACTTTCGAACGTATTTGTATGATATGGATAGTGTTTTTTATGGGTTAACCCAAGAAGAATTAAAAAATATTAGTTTTTGAATACGCGAAACGCAATAATGTCACTTGTCCGCCTAGTTGAGACAAAAATAAATAAGTTGGTGATGATTAGTTAGGAGAATTGATGAGGAGAAATCCACAAATCGTACTAAGAATTCCAGAAGCAACTACAATTGGCAGAGTTAAAGGCTTCAATCGTCCTCAAGTAGAAAGGTTCTATAAACCGTTAAGTGAACATATTACCAGAATCTGATGAAACTGGCACTCGGACCTCGACAAATAAACCACCCATAGTTCTTTTAGTCAAAGGTAAGAAGCAAGTTGTATACATTTCCAGCACTGAACGTGGACAAACTACGACAGTCGTGAGTTGCTGCAACGCTTCTGGATTATTCGTTCCGATGCCACACATTCCTTTGGGTATACGTAAAAGAAAGATAGTCTAAGATGTTAACAAGTACGCTAGTGAAGTGAGAACAAAAAGAAAAATTTAAAAGGAATGAAAAATATGAATAAAGATTTAAATGATAAACCAAAAACTGCGACAAAGAAAAATACTAAAATGACGATAAATATAATTGTTAAAGATAAAAGTAAGAATTGTGGTCAGGAAAACGAGGAAGAACTGTGTGTATTCTATTATTGCGAGAACTGTATAGAAATAAATAAATAAAACTGTTGATGATTGGATCCAATGTGATAAATGTAAGCAAAGGATTCACGATAAATGCACGGCTTATGAAGAAATAGGCTTATTTCTTTGTGATATCTGCACTGATTAGTTTAAAACTATGCTAAGTATTTGTGTTCACTTTGCCCTATCGTCCTATCCACTTTACCCGACCTATGGGGCAAAGTGGATACTGGTATATGTTGCAACATTATTGACAATTAAAATTAAAGGACTGCTATTAAGCAATTTTTGTTGATTATATTAAAAACTTTAATAAATGTTGATTCTCATTGAACATTCGTTTTATTTATATGCCTATTGGTTTTCTTCCTATAGCCCATCAAACGTTAAGGTGTCCACTTTGCCCGGACTTCCCCTATTGCCCATGGTAATGACAGGATGTTAATTATTCATAAGTGGCATAAATACCGGTAAAAATGAATCTAAAGTCAATGCTCTATAGAAAGGTCGCTGTGAAAATTTGTCGTGTCGTAATCCTTACAATTGATACTTACTAGAGGCCAGTATGACATCTTGGAAGTCTTCATCGATAGCGCTATTGAATCTTGAAGGCCTAGGCGTGACGTAGTGGGGCAGCAGATCGGAGAGGAAATCATTGGAAGTCGAGTCCCCCCAGTCAATGTCGCTTCTTATTTCGTACTTACGGCGACCGTTTGCATTGTACCCTAAAATTTTAGTAGGTAATTATTTTAATAAGTTCACTGTACAAGAGATTTCCAAATACATACTATATTTTTCGCTATCCAGTAGATACACACTGCACCTTGAACGAATGCCGCTCAATCAAATTAGGCTATAATATGAAGATCACCGAAGCCGTACCTTAAACTACTTTAAAAAGTTAAAAAAGGGCGCGTAGCTTAGCTATGTGGTTAACATTGGTACAGACGCGGAAACGAGTTAATAGTCCACTTGAAATCGCGAACAACGTAGTGTGTGGACACCACAGTCTACAGGCCACACACCTTGAGACCTATGGTCACTGTCCGGGTACTTATTGCGAGTTTTTTAACGTTCTCGATAGCGTAAAAGTTAACTTAAATTTGTATGGAGTTGGAACGTTTGCCTACGTTTGCCGCCAGGGGCGCTGTTCCAACTGCATATAAATTTGATTTAACTTTTACTCTATCGAGAACGTTAAAAAAATCGCAATAAGCACAAAGAATTGCACTGCAACAAAATCCATTCCGCCCTTTAACTAGAATGACCGTCATAGCGACAAAAATAGGAATGGCGGAGTTGTCCGAACTAAAACTATACTCATTTGCCGTACGCATTTTCTCAATAACTTAATTTATCATTTAAAACTAGATCAACAAACAGTTAACACGCGAACAGGGCTATTACTACTGGTAGAGAAGATACCACCACCCTGCCTGTTTGTACGGCGATAGTGACATGGCCGTTATGTAATTGAAACTCGTCATTTATATTGTGAACTCTGTGTTCTTAGTGTGAGTTTTTTAACGTTCTCGATATCGTACACGTTAATATAAATTTGTATGCATGGATCAGCGCCCCTAGCGGCAAACGTTGCAACTCCAGATAATTTTGAGTTAACTTTTACGCTATCGAGAACGTTAAAAAACTCGCATCAAGCACACTGGTAACGCGGAGTGCTACTTTCCTATACCATCGAAAGTGAATAAAATCAATGACAACAATACTGCTTTTTTATTTTATATCTACCTTTATTATTGTGTCTTAGAGCTCCAGCCGAGTATGCCACTGGTTGTATGTGATTTTTTACTACTACATCCATTGTAGTGTCTAGTGAAGTTCTACGAATCAATCTAAAAAAAAATTGTTAACAATACAATAACTGAAACTTATATAATTAACTTCGAAATTCAAGCACTAATCATAAAGATGAATTTATATACTACGTAAAAATGTAAGACAAACTTATAGTTTCCAAACTTTTCAAACACTGCCTCCTGAAGTGTGGTATTCGGTTCACTGCCATTATTCTGTATATGTGTTTCTTTCATCTCCCTAAAATTCAGTATATTTACAATCAAAAAAGTACAAATTAGGCGGCACAACCTTGACACAGTAAATTTCAAAGAGAAATTCTAATGATGTGTGGTCTTACCATCATTAAACTTGTAACATCATTAATCATTAACACCAGTTCACAACCAATGATTTATATAATAAACGTGTACTTACGTTGTAATTTTATCAAGCCAAAATGGTATCTCCTGATCTTTATTTGTATAACTGTGTCCATTTCGTTTATTTTCCATCGTAACCATCCATTTACAGTTCAAAGACCTTTATTAAACATTCCAATTTTTTTTCAATAAGCAGCATTACAAATTTACGTAATCGTTTAGGTTTAAAGAGATTAAATATAACTTCGTTTTTTAGGTACTCAATAAAATGAATATTTAAATGATTGAAGATATTTTCCACTTGCTACTTTTGAAACATATTTGCCGCTGTTTGTTTGACCTTGATTGCCATGGTAACTACCACAGACTTTTTAAAGATGCCACTTAAGGTAACAGTAACTAATACTTTTTGGCGGGAATGCGAGCAGCTAAGTAGCGTGAATTGTTTTATTTTGTTAATTTAGTATTTCTTCAGATGTATGTATACGTATAGCTAATTATTATTGCTGTCTAGCCAACTAACTAAAAAAATGCTGTTTAGCGTAAGTGATGTGGAAAAATGACCTTAAGTCCGCCTTTATACTGTCTATTAGACAAAGTTATAAATAAATGAATAAATAAAAATGAAACAAAGCCGCTGGATGTAGCTTCTCGGGTTCTTTCAATAAATCCACTTAAATAGTATATTATGTAAATAACCACCATTTTACTGAGACTTTATTTTATTAATTCTCGTTTCATTTAATTTCAATGATTCCCTCCCAATTGATTAAAATCTCAAATTAATCAACTTCATCTCATTTCGCTTCATTTTTTCCTCTTCGCTGGTAGCCTAAGGGGCTATTTCAGCTACACCTGGACTGGGCTTCATATCATTTCTCTTAATCTAACAGAATATAAGGAGATAATATAAGACTTGCCTTAAAGGTCTCACTACCAGGCCACAAAATCTAAAAAATTTCAATTATAATAACTGTAGTACATACATACATATTCATTGAATTCATTCGCTTTTTTTTTTTATTTATGATTGTGATTTTGTTAGTTTTTGGTCTTCATTTTATTTATATAAAGAAACAATTACTTTGAGGGAGTGCATATAGAGTCCCTTCTTTATTTCGTATCGTCGTGTTTTATGTAATTAACACCACAGTTGGAACAATATAAATTTTATTGTTGTAGCGGCATAAAGTAATTACATTAAATTAGTTATTTAACTCATTATAAATTATTTTTATGTTTTTCATATTTGGCGGTAAAAAGGTAACGTCACAGACTATATCCCTTCTCCCACATCTCGTGCGTTCCGGCTTACGCATAATAAAACGCCACAACTTGTACTCGAACTAAAATACTGACAATTAAACAAAATGAATTGTGTCGTATGCACAGCATACATACCACACATTTTACAAGTTACCGGATTGTAGAATACCGAAGAAGTATGTTTTGTGTGCATAAATTGGTTCTTGAAAATCTATCGTCTAAATTATTAGGTAACTAAAACCCAAATTACCTGCTAGTTTGCTACCTGTCATTCGATCATAATGTCATTGTCACTTGTCGGAAGTTGGAAAGCTCGAAGACTTCAGAAAATAAACCGAACCATAAAAAATCTATTAAAAAGGTGGCAAATAACCAACCAACTGAAACATATGCTTCCAATAATAATAAATGAACTCGTTTAAATTGATAAAAATCACAAAATACTAGTGCTAAAACTGTAAACTATAGTTGCTACGTATAAAAATGACGGATATGAACGAAAAGAGGTTAGAAGAGCGAACAACCAGGGCCGAAAAAGAAGCCCGGGCTATCGAAGAAGAGCTAGAGAAATTAAGTAAAGGTGATCTTAGCTATGTCGGGAATCCAGAATTGGATAAGCTGCTGACCGAAAACGAAAAGCTCAAACATCGTCTCGCTATTCTTGAAAATGCCATAAAAGTAGAGACCGAATCTTCAGCGGCGATCAAGAAAGAAGCTAAAAAACGCACATTACCAATGCTTGTAACAGATACTAAGTCTGTTGAAAGTAATTTTTGCATATTAGAAGAACTGAAAAATCTTTTTGAAGTTGCCATTACCAATGCCTATCCAGATTTAGAGAATCCACCCATCGCACTGACGTTGTCAGGTAACAATCCTAAATTTGGAGATTATCAATGTAATTCTGCCATGGCCATAGCTCAGTTATTGAAGGCTAACAATGTAAAGACAAATCCCCGAGAAGTAGCTAATAACATACTAAACAAAACTCCAACATCACCAATAGTGCAAAGAATTGAAGTAGCTGGAGCAGGTTTCTTAAATATTCACTTGAATAAAGAATTTGTTGAACATGTTTTAAGTAGTATTTTAAAATCAGGCATCCAACCACCTGCAGTAAAGAAAGAAAAAGTTATTGTAGACTTTTCATCACCAAATATTGCAAAAGAAATGCATGTTGGCCATTTAAGGTCTACCATCATCGGTGACAGTATTTGTAGAGTGTTGGAATTTTTAAATAATGATGTGGTTAGGTTGAACCATTTGGGTGACTGGGGCACTCAGTTTGGAATGTTGATTGCTCATTTACAAGATAAGTATCCAGATTTTAAAACAAAATCACCCCCAATATCTGATTTACAAGCATTTTATAAAGAGTCAAAGAAGAGATTTGATGAAGATGAAGAATTTAAAAAGCGAGCCTATTCATGTGTAGTACAGCTGCAGTCTCATCAACCAGATTACATTGCAGCATGGAAATTGATCTGTGAAGTATCTCGCCAAGAATTTCAGAAGATCTATGATCGGCTTGATATCAAAATCATAGACAGAGGTGAATCATTTTATCAAGACCGAATGGATGCTGTTGTACAGTTCTTAAAAGGAAAGGGCTTCTTAGAGGAAGATGAAGGAAGACTTATTATGTGGGGTAGTGAAAAACGTGAAGGTATACCGTTGACAGTTGTAAAATCTGATGGAGGTTACACATATGATACATCTGATATGGCTGCTATAAAGCACAGGGTTGATGAGGAGAAAGCTAACCGTTTCATTTATGTTACTGATGTAGGCCAATACACTCATTTTATGACCATAGATGCCTGTGCAAGACGAGCTGGTATTCTCAAAGATGACCAGAGAGTTGAGCATGTTGGATTTGGTGTTGTTTTGGGAGAAGATAAGAAAAAATTTAAAACTAGGTCTGGTGATACCATAAAACTCATAGAGTTATTGGATGAAGGCCTGAAAAGGTCTTTAGACAAGCTAGTTGAAAAGGGGCGTGATAAAGTGCTTAGTTCTGAGGAACTCAAGAGAGCTCAGGAAGCTGTGGCTTATGGCTGTATCAAGTATGCAGATCTATCGCACAACCGAATTAATGATTATATATTTTCATTTGACAAAATGCTCGACGACAAGGGCAATACTGCTGTCTATTTATTGTATGCATTAACTCGCATTAGATCGATTGCAAGGAATGCTCAGATATCATTAGATTCATTATTGGCAGAAGTCGATAGGATTGGATTAAAACTCACACATGAATCAGAGTGGAAGCTTGGAAAAACCCTGCTTAGGTTCCCTGAAGTCATATTGAAAGTATCTGGTGATTTGTACTTACATAGTTTATGTGAATATTTGTATGAAATATCCTCTGCTTTCACAGAATTTTATGATAAGTGCTTCTGTATTGAAAAGGATAAGGAAGGAAAGATTGTCAAGATAATTTATGAAAGATTAATGCTATGCGAAATCACAGCAAGAGTAATGGAAAAATCACTAGAAATTTTAGGAATCAAAACTGTATCAAAAATGTAGTGTTTGTTAAATTTTAATAGTTGTGTTTTAAATTTACTATTTAAATACCAAGTCATTATTAATTTGTTGTAATTATTAATCAACATTGATTGTAATCAACAATAAAACAGCAATTTGTTTGTAAAACGTTTATTTACTGAGTTCCCAAAAACCTCTACAAAACTATACCAGGGCCCATAATCAGTGGTAATATTAATTAAATTACATTAAAACTTCATTAAAAATTATGACAACCACTTGATAGAATACTGAGAATAATCTATAAGACAGTAATAATTTTTATAAACAATGTTATACTGAGGAGGTCCATGGTCCAATAGCCATGTTATATATCATGGTATATAACAGTCCTGTTATGTTTACTACTATAAAATCATTTTGGAGCAATTCCTAAATTCTTATCAAACGAAAAACAGTACAACTCTAAATTATATAATTTTATGTAATATGTCATATAATACTTAGCCAAATTAAATAGAAAAATTCCAAAAGAAGAATCCACGCGAGAACGTTTTAATTAAAGTAAGGAAGAACACTAATTGCAATAACATTATTTATAACATCAGAAAAACTGAAAACATATCGACGTGCGAAAGTCTATTTGGTTTAAGCGACATTTTTACATCTTTTTTTTTATTGCTTAGATGGGTGGAAGAGCTCACAGCCCACCTGGTGTTAAGTGGTTACTGGAGCCCATAGACATCTACAACGTAAATGCGCCACGCACCTTGAGATATAAGTTCTAAGGTCTCAAGTATAGTTACAACGGCTGCCCTACCCTTCAAACCGAAACGCATTACTGCTTCACGGCAGAAATAGGCAGGGTGGTGGTATCTACCCGCGCGGACTCACAAGAGCCCTACCACCAGTAAAAAATCTGTACAAGAGAGCCACCTAAAGTTTAAAATTTGGAAAAAATATCATGGGGATAAATGGGATAAACATATTTGAAGTTCAATTAAAAACATCGAATTGTTGATACTAATACGAAATAGAACGGATCATTAATTACAAAGATAAATATCACGTAATAAGCGAAATGTTGCTTAAACCAAATAGCCATTAACACGACACGACGACATGATGAAATTTTATCATGCAAGTTTCATGTTCAGTTTCAAGTTAGCATTAATCACTATTATCAAAGAGTTTCAAGATTTTCTATCAGAAGACTGAATGCCCTTTTAGGTATACTGACGCAGAATATGAGGTTTTCCTTTATGAGATTCTTTAAATCTTAAAATTACATTTACTCATTCTACATCTCAATAGCATTTCAGATGCGCTGCCTGAATCACTTACGTTACTCCATCGTATAAGTCAAGAATAGTACGTAAGCACTGGTATGAGCAATTAAAATCCAATCGCCACTGAAAACGGATCTTATTTTCTAAATAATTCTAAATATAAATTTCTATAGAAGTATCTTTGGAAATGATATTAAAGGTTTGTTTAAATTTTTGGTCTTAAATGTCTTTTTTACAATCTTATTGCACTGTGGGAATTTAAATTGAATCTTCACTGGTTTATGCTTATCGTATTTTACATAGGAACTTCAATTTTGCGTTATCACCAGAAGCAAATCCTAGAGCATTTCGTTGAGATCTGAAGCGTCCGTAGCCTATCTACGATCAAACAACTGTGCGATTCTTGTTCAAGTAACTTTTTTTTTTCAAATTCCTCATGGAAATTTCATAATCGGAAAAGAAAATGCAGTAACCGAGATTTTTCAACTCCCTAAATGTATTTTACTGTATAAATACAACATACCTTTCTAACGTATATTAAAATTGTTAAATGTCATTGGGTATTAAAATCTGATGACGACAATTAAATTTTATATACTTTAAAATGTTTTGCTTAAAAACCGTGAAAGTCAAAAAAGAAGAAGGAAATGATGATGTAGACGAGCTTCCATTGACAAACTTATAACTAGAGATTGCATGGAAGGCAAAACGTTTTGTCCTAAATTGTTATCAGACTTTGTTTTGTGGAGCCAAATATATATTTTTCATATGATGGAGAGTATGCCACCCTAAAAGTGTCCAAAATCTCTTAAATTTGATTGAAACAAAATCAAGAAACTTCATATCTAAATTTATAATACAAGTCAGTAATAAAATATTCAAATTTTTGTTTTTTTGTTTTATATTTTGTTATATATTGTAAGTTTTGAATCAATCAAAGAAATTGTGACCATCAATACAATCATTTAATGATTTTTTCCATTCAAAATAACAATAAAAACATATAGTTACCTAAAGAAGATCCACATCTCGACAAGACTACATAATATATATAACAATTTGGATTACTTTCCATGAATATACTTTGTCCATGGATGAACGAATGTGTGCTACAAAAGTAGCACGTTATAAGAAACATTATGTATCGAATAAACACCATAAATGGGAATAGAACATTTTCTTCGTCCGTGACCACGACAAATATAGAATACTCGAAAAGTCGTCAATAATGACAGTCAAATAGCAAAATTAAATCGTAACCATAGTTTTAATTGTTCTTAAATTAGACACTAATGTATTTACTTTACCTAATTAATATCTCTAGTGTCATTCCAGGGAGAAAATAATTTTAATTTAACTATTTAACGGCATACGTTTGCTCTATTACCTTCAATAAAAAAAAAAAACGGTACAGTAATAAGGTGTTCAATCGAAGGACCCTAATAGTATCCGGGACGTTATAGCTAAAACTTGATCATAACAATGCCACACTTACAACTATATTTCCACTGCAGACAGAACGAACACTTACATTTAAAAACATTAAAACTAGATACATTTTAATTATATACTTTTAATGATTTCCATACATCGCTTTCGATTAACAGAAGACGTAAAACCAATTCTATGTTCAAAATAATTGTGCATCCTTGTCTTTTACCCTGTTAAAACTTACGAAATCCAATATAGTACATGCGTTCAAAACAATTTTATTCTGTAATTTTCTTAAAATTTTGTATAAAATAAAGGGTTTTCTCACCAAAAAAACAAAAAACATTAAAATGATATTCTTTTGTAACATATAGATTGACTAGAAAATGTTAAAAAAAAAACAATATGTTTTGTAATACTACCAGTATGCTAAGTGTCCCAAAATTAAACAATTTTCACGTTTCATCTACATGGCAATTTTTATAGCGTGAAACGATTGAAGGCCAGACTATAGATGTATCAAAACTATACATTTTTATTATTCCACAATGTCTAAAAATAAAACAAGGGCCGAATTTATGAAAAAAAAAATTCATTTTTTGTTCCGCCAAACAATTACAAATAGATACATATATAGATGCCATGATTCTGTCGTTTAGATCGAAAGGTCAAATGTGGGCAATATCTACACAATGAACGCGGCGGACAACGATCCGTCCACAGATTATACACTAATGACCTAGCCATCAACGGATGTACCAGTGACATGTTTCACTTTCGATAGTCAACCATTGTGTTATACTTTCCGAAGAACAATGCACTGTTTTAAAATTGTTTCTTTACTTTATCGAACAGGTCAGCGGTGTTAAGACCTGACTACAATAATGAAAATTACATTTTGTTAGCGAAGATGAAAGACTGACACTTTGAAAACGACATAAAATTTCGGTTTGTATCATCGACGCTATTGTTAAGAATCTGTATTTTACTATACGAGGCAATAATAGTTATACATACAAAATTCTAGAGAGATTTTTTTGCTATTCACTTGAGTGATTGAGCAAACCGTAATTAAAAATTGGGACGTAAATTTAACAAAATAGCTTGGAATTTTTTTAATCCTACAGAATAGTACATTAAACTAACTACATAGACTAAAACCGGAGAAAAAACTTCGACATATTATGTATAAATATTAAACAGAGTTCCGTAATATAGGTATAAGATAGAATATAAACATCTCTAAAAATTTCTAAACATTTTAATAGTTAATCTAAAAAGGATTGGATTGGTCGCGAGATTCTGAGATACTACAGAACTACAACAATATTATTTAATAACATTATTCTACAAAATATACATATACATCTTCGAACGTTTGGCCGAGCGCAGAACCAGCCAGTACCTAACCTAACCCAACAAGTTAGTCCCAAAGAGTTTGATAACAACAACCACAATACATTAATTAATAATATACTTTTTATTCTAAGAGTATTTCTTTCATGAGAATATTTTTTGTATATTCGGATGATCCGTAATAATTTGTTAATTTGGAATACATTAAACTCTGGGAGGTGTTCACGATGCGTGAACTAAATCATACCTTAAAATCATCCTAATAAAATATTTTAAAACTTTCACTACGAAATAGCACGTTGCAGTATTGAAATCCACTCTCGTTAAATTGCAAGAGGTCATAAATTAGTTACATTTTACTGCATTATGGCACTTTACCGGCAAAGGCGTACATAGGCGTAGATTTTTTTATTGCTTAGATGGGAGGACGAGTTCACAGCCCACCTGGTGTTAAGTGGTTACTGGAGCCCATAGTCATCTACAACGTAAATGCGCCACCCACCTTAAGATATAAGTTCTAAGATCTCTTCAAGGCTTAGGTTGGAAAAAAAAATCCCAAGGACAGGCCAAAAAACGTCACACAGCAAATCCGACCTTACGAATCCGAATCTTTCTGAATATTTATTTCGTCAAACGAAAACGCGCAACGTGCTGTGCAAACGTGCATCTTATATTTCGTAGTGATGTCAGTTTCTAGTCTAACCGAATGTCTACCTCGTTTTTACGTATTTTTGGCGAAACGCAGATGCCCAATGAACCGTAGCTGCGACATCTACATTACACATCATCACAAATAATTAGACACGTCTCAAAGGCGCAGTGAACATAGCTGCGCATACAACGGATCTGCCATTTTGCGGACATTCTGTCTAGGGAATTACTCGTTCTGTGACCTCGCACGAAAATAGAATTAGAGAGCTTTAACTGAAATTCAAGGTCGAGGGAGATTCTAAGGCAGCGGTCGGGGAACCGGGGTAAATTACCCCAAATGGGGTAAAATGAAACTTTTGTGAGTAAAAAAAATAATAATATATTAAAGTGAAACTTCTTTAGAATCGTAAATTTTTTTGTTATTCTTTTCTTTTCAAAATTATCATGGGGGCTATAATATGAAAGATACTAAAAAGAAGCGATTTCGTTTTTTTGGTCTTCGCCATGAGGTAATAAACATCAACTTACACAAAAATATTCTGGAGTAATAATTAAAATTAAACCCCGACCGCTGTTCTAAGGGGACGTGCAGTATTCATTGCGATTTTAACTCAGGGAAGAGATGGCGTAAGATGGCTAGGTAGTGTACCGTGGCTGCGAGGGCGACGAACACGTGCCATATGGCGTGAGCGAAGGGTATCCGCCCGTCAGACTTGAAGAAGAACACGCCCATGAGGTAGAGAATGCCGCCGAGCTTCAGATCGCACATTGCGGGAAACTGGTGCTGCAAAAGAAATAAAACCATTAACCTTTTTACTGGTGGTAGGACCTCTTGTGAGTCCGCACCGGTAGGTACCACCCTGCCTATTTCTGCCGTGAAGCAGTAGGTAATGCGTTTCGGCTTGAAGGGTGAGGTAGCCATTGTAACTATACTTGAGACCTTAGAACTTATATCTCAAGGTGGGTGGCGCATTTACGTCGTAGATGTCTATGGGCTCCAGTAACCATTTAACATCAGTTGGGCTGTGAGCTCGTCCACCAATATACGCAATAAAAAAAAAAAACTTGCCAGAAATTTTCTGATGGAGCAGACGAACGCTTACGAACATCTTCAACAGATTATCCTATTGTGAACGACTTAACAAATTGCTTTGAATAGCCCCAACCCATTAAAGATATTTACCCAATCAAGTTACAATGAAAACGTGGTTTTTATACACGAAACAAAATGAATTTTGGGTGGCAAAATTCATGTTGTGAGACACCTTGAGACATGAGGTTGAAGCCTCAGTTATATTGTATAACGGCTGACACAGTTTCCAAAGTAAAATGCACAACTGGTTCGTGGCCAAGACTGTGGCACCCAGACATGCTGATTTTTGTTTAAGTCTATTTTATTTTTAAATTTATTTTTCTATTATACCTTGAATTTTTCTATTAATAGCAACAATTATAAGGTTATGATCATTATTAAACCCCGTGAAAAAGTTGCACGAAATATTATGTTGCATCTTGCAACAATGGCTGTAAGACATTCAAAACCCTTCTTTAAAGATTATGAAATAGCTGACGTGAATATAGTTCGAGGCAGTACATTATGTAGTATACAATAGCATTCACGTGTGACGTCTATTTCCAAACACACCAAGTAAGTAAGTAAGTAAGTAAGGGTGGAGTCGGAGCACACCTATGTTTATGTGACGCGCCAAAAGGAATTGGTTGAAAATTAAGGAAATTGAAAGGTACACATATCTACCAAAAAAAAATATGCGAAAGAGGTGACAGGTTTATAGTCAGGCAAAAAATAGAGATGAGTTAGGTTAAGTCGAAAAAGAATGTATGCACAGACATTACTATCCATAGAGTACATTAATTATACGTTCTCGTTGACGAGTTCTGTTTAAAACGAGGTTTGAAGGACCTTCATCTTGCAGTTATAAAGCGAATTTGAACAAAAAAAAAACGGAGTTTCATTCAGACTTTAGTCACAAACGAATATAGGAAAACACATAATCGGCTATAATTTAGGTCGATTGCAGAAATATCAGGGAAACGTATGATTGAATTATTCAAAGCGCCGATACACTCGCGAGGTAACACACAACGCATCGAGTACAAAGTACACCGAAACGGGTTTGTGATTATTCCGTGTGCTTATCTACTTGACCTTTTCAATAGAAACTTTGTTACAGATAGTCGTTTGCGTAAATGAATGACAAAATAGATTTTTTAGTATAAGCAGATTAGTCGGCTTTTTAAACTTAACCATCTCTTATACTAACAATAGGAACTCAACTTTCGCTACCCAATAGATCAATCTCGCGATCCACCTGGTTTTAAGTGGTTATCGGAGCCCACAGACATCAACAACGTAAATGCCGCGACTCATGCGAGACATGTGTAAGATCTCAGTTTTTACCGTACAACGGCCGCCCCGCCCTTCAAACCGAAACGCATTACTGCTTCACGGCAGAAATAGGCAGGGTGGTGGTACCTACCCTTGCGGGCTCAAAAGATCTTTTACCACTGGTAGGAAGGCACGCAATGATGCGAATATTTATGGGTTGAAATCTTATTAAATACTTTTAATTCATTATTTTAAGCATTTAACGAACTAACCTAGACTAGACTTCGCAACACTATTAACTTGAGTTGTGGTTGAAATTGAGGACTAATATCCGATAGTAAAAATCAAACCGGAATAATTTATAACGTTGCATAATGAGTGACGGGTGACGTCATCCGCGTGTTTCAATTCACGGGATAGACAGCGGTTGTTTTGTTTCCAAAACAATCGTCTTCAATCTCATATCTGAAGGTGAATGACGGTATGCGACGTGTACGTATTGCATTCAACAACAGGGTGTCAAGCTCGGGCCGATTGTACAGTCACTAATGAAAATGTTTCCATGAATACAAAGTCTATTTTTAATTTTATCTATTGTAAAATCAGCTATACTTCATAATCTTCATAAAAACAGCTTTGAAACTCATAGTTATTCAAATCATGTATTTTTATCTTTAAATTATGTTTGTAATGTCTGATTACAAAATAAATTTGTACGTAATATGTTTAGTATACTTGAAACATATTATAGTACAGAACACGACGCTAGTACGCAGCTCATAGACAAAGCTCACTGAGTTTCTCGCCGGATTTTCTCAGTGGGTCGCGTTTCCGATCCAGAGGTAGATGCTGCGAAGCACTGTTCTTGCCGGGTCTAGTTTTAGCAAATTCTCTCAGGTTGAGCCCCTTAGACTACCAGCGAATAAGTAGGAAAAAAGTAGTATGCAATATTAACATAATCTTCTCAAACCCAAGCAAGCGGAAAAGTGTTGATTTGTTTAGTAGTTTTCATGTCTTATTTACTAATTATCATTCCGTCGAAGTTTCGAGTTTGTATGCACATTTTAAAAATGCATTCCAAAAATCCAAGTTTTTGGTGTATCACCATTCTTTTAAATAGAACATTAAGGCATGCGAGTCTCCAGCAACAGCCAAATCACTGCATGGATTTTTTTTTGTTGCTAACAGCCCTCTCATTATCATGCTTACTAATTACTACCACTGATATTTGTCTTTATCACCGCCTATTAGATAGATAACATTCTTAGAACAAAGCAGTAATAATTAAAAAAAAGAATTCAACTACAATCTCTGTGCAAGAACATTATTAACTTTTAGAAAACGAAGACACGTCGAATTCGGCGCGCATGCGTCTTAATTTAACGTAACAGGAATTCCGAATAGTAAATTACCATTGACGTTTTCGAGTGAAGAAGTTGTCGTGGCCCAAAGGATAAGACGTCCGGTGCATTCGTATCTAGCGATGCACCGGTGTTCGAATCCCAGCAATAAAAAAAAAAAAATATACATATATATAAAAAGGAAAGATTACGTATGTATATTTATGTATACGCTTGTCTGTAATTCATGCGCTCACGTGCACAAACGCCGAACGCCCGTTACGGAAACCCAATCCGGGAAACATGCACGAAATGAAATCTATAATAACAGGTTACGTCAGTTTTAAAAATAAAGAAAAGGTGAATGCGTGCCAAGGAGCTAAGTGCCTACGATATTGGATGGCGAGTGACAAGCGATTCGGAGTTTATTTTTTTAACTAAATACAAGGTGTGACAAAATCTTTCTCGAGCCCTAAAAATGACAATAAACTAATTTGTAACGTAATTTAAAAACGAACGTTCTTTAAATTAGCTAAGCATAAATAAAATTGATTTACTTTTTTTTATTGACCATGTAGGCAGACGGCCCGCCTGATGGTGAGTGGTTACCGTCGCCCATTGACTTCAGCAATGCCAGGGGCAGAGCCAAGCCGTTGCCTATCTATTATTCGCAATGTAAGACAAAATTGCGTATGTCACTGTCAATGTATTGACTTGTTAATGTAAGCTGTTGGGACTGCGAATCAGCGAGTCCACTACTCAATTTACTATTAGGTACAACCTACTTTTTGGAAACACTTTCAATACAGGAGATATACTTAAAAATCAATTTATGTAATTTAATAAAAATGCTCAATTAAAAATATTCTTAGTTTCATTTCGTATTTGTTTTATTGTTTTTTTTTTTATCGCTTAGGTGAGTGGAAGAGCTCACAGCCCACCTGGTGTTAAGTGGTTACTGGAGCCCATAGACATCTACAACGTAGACGCGCCACCCACCTTGAGATACAAGTTCTAAAGTCTCAGTATATGTAGTTACAACGGTTGCCCCACCCTTCTAACCGAAACGCATTACTGCTTCACAGCAGAAATAGGCAGGGCGGTGGTACCTATCCGCGCGGACTCACAAGAGGTCCTACCACCAGTTATGACAACATCGAACATTGTTAATACTTATGTAAGGTTTAAGCCCTGAAATGTTTTTAATGGTGTTTAAAATTTTTGTATTTAGTCTTTAAAAACAATAGATAATAGTTTAAAAAAACTAACGAAATACGTGAGTGCAAAATAGCGTGGGGTGCTTTTCAGGATATTATCAAAACTAGAGGTCCCGCATTAGTCGAAACTCGACTATAATTAATTGGATTTGTAAGTTTGTACACTATTATGATTGTATTCTATAATCACAAATTTCGCCAAGACTACATTATAAAAAATATTACAAACCATATTCTATTCTCAATTTGACAACAGACGTCAAGAACAAACTTTGACAATAAATAGTATGCATGCTTGTGTGCGTCATATACATGGTATGTACTGTGTGTAATTTTATCTTTATTGAGTTAATGTATCTTTTATGCATTATTTTAAAAAAATATTAGCATTGTGCACTCCTTCTCTAACTAGTCAGGTCATAAGTATTGTCACACAGTAAAAACTTTTCTTTTAGAATGCTGGCCACAAAAAAGTTTATTGAATTCGAATTTCAAATTGTTCATGAAAATAAAAATGTATACTTTTAGAATTTTACTCATTTTTAAATATGGAGTGGACGCTTAAAGAAGACCGTGTTGCAGTTATTGCGTTGCACCGTTGCGGTTACGCGCCAATTTAAATTTTTAACATACTGAAAAATTTGAATATAACCAAAAGATTCGTTTATCGTACCATCAAACGATACAATGAAGACTCTAGTGTAGATGACAGGTCAAGAAGTGGTCGCCCTCGGTCTGTTTGGACTCCAGCAGTGATAAAAGCTGTGAAGGCGCGAATTTAAAGAAATCCCAAACATAAGCAGAAACTGTTGGCCCTTCAGATGGGGTTAAGCAGAACCACGGTGAAAAGGGTGTTAAATGAAGACTTAGGGCTTCGGGCATATCGAAGAAAAACAGGACATCGTTTGAATGCTCGTCTAATGGACCTGAGACTGAAGAGATGCCGCGCTTTGTTGAAGCGGTACGCGGGAAAAAAATATCGGGAAATTCTTTTTTCGGATGAAAAAATTTTTACCGTAGAAGAGAGCTACAACAAACAAAATGATAAGGTGTACGCACACAGTAGTGAAGAAGCGAGCAACCGTATTCCGCGTGTCCAACGAGGTCATTTTCCATCCTCGCTCATGGTATGGTTGGGAGTTTCTTATTGGGGCTTAACAGAGGTACATTTTTGTGAGAAAGGTGTAAAAACGAATGCAGTTGTGTATCAAAATACAGTCCTGACGAACCTTGTGGAACCTGTTTCTCATACCATGTTCAATAACAGGCACTGGGTATTCCAACAAGATTCGGCGCCAGCTCATAGAGCGAAGAGCACACAAGACTGGCTGGCGGCGCGTGAAATCGACTTCATCCGGCACGAAGACTGGCCCTCCTCCAGTCCAGATTTGAATCCGTTAGATTACAAGATATGGCAACACTTGGAGGAAAAGGCGTGCTCAAAGCCTCATCCCAATTTGGAGTCACTCAAGACATCCTTGATTAAGGCAGCCGCCGATATTGACATGGACCTCGTTCGTGCTGCGATAGACGACTGGCCGCGCAGATTGAAGGCCTGTATTCAAAATCACGGAGGTCATTTTGAATAAACTTTAGTGTCATAAGAATCTATGTTTTGTTAAGTTCATTTTGGTATATGAATGGTTACATAATGAATAAACTTGTTTCAATTATTTTACATTAAACATGTGACAGAATTTATGACCTGACTAGGTATATTCTCTATAAGTGTGGAAAATTTCATACTCCTCCGTCCGCGCAATTTTCGTAAAAAGGGATACAAAGTTTTTGCTTCACGTATTAATATATAGATAACCCTTCTACTCATATCCGTTCATAAAATATTTATAACTACTGATACCATGCACCCCACGCTTTTAAACAATAGAATCATTTTTTCTTACCATATTTTTAATTCAAATTTATTAAAATTTATTTTCTATTTTTTAGTTGGATTTTCTATAAAAGCGTATTTTGTTAGGTTTTTTAAACTATTATTTATTTTTAATTTTTTAGTCTAATTTCAATTTTTTCAATATTTTGTTCATTTTTTTTTTAAATATGAATTGTCATCGGTCCTTGATAAGTATACCAAATTTCGAGTTAATCCGACGTTTTGAAGGGGGTCAAAATCATGTTCAAAGATTCCGTTACATACTAACATTCATACGTCTGAAGATAATAAAAGCGTATTAAAAAGATAAACATCGCGTTAGGGTTGGCACATTAGAATGAGTTTCAAAAAGTCGTTTCGCCTGTCACTCGCTCTCCAAGACCAAAACGTTAAAGTGAAAACGTACATTTGACGTGACTATGATCGCCGCGGGACCCAGTCCCATCACGAGATACAGTAGCAGCTCCAACATCTTGTATCGCTCGTGGAATATTTGTTGGTACGTGATGCCCAGTACGGCCAGCAGCCAGATAGCCCAGCGCAGTTCCCTGAGCATCCAACAGGAGAGCGTGCCCACCGTCAGCCACGGGAAGTAAGAGCTCGCGATGAATATGTAGATCATGGCGCGGTCACATCGGTGCAGGAAGTGTTTCATTTTACTGTAAAATTTGTGTTGGGTTAGTTGAAGCTTTATAGTGAATATTTCAGTTTTTTATTGCTTAGATAGGTGGACGAGCTCACAGCCCACCTGGTGTTAAGTGGTTACTGGAGCCCATAGACATCTACAACGTAAATGCGCCACCCACCTTGGGATGTAAGTTCTAAGGTCTCAAGTATAGTGACTGCCCCACCCTTCAAATCGAAACGCATTACTGCTTCACGGCCGAAAATGGGCAGGGTGGTACCTACCCGCGCGGACTCACAAGAAGTCCTACCACCAGTAATTACGCAAATTATAATTTTGCGGGTTTGATTTTTATTACATAATGGTATTCCTTCACCGTGGAAGTCAATCGTGAACATTTGTTGAGTACGTATTTCATTAGGAAAATTGGTACCCGCCTGCGGGATTCGAACACCGGTGCATCGCTCGACACAAATGCACCGGACGTACGTCTTATCCTTTAGGCCACGACGACTTCGACTTCGCACGAAATTTTTGAAACTATTATTATTTTAGTGCGCTATCTCAGATCCTCATAGCCAAACGTAACGAGTACTATAAACTAATAAAATACGCAAAGTATTGTTACTGGTTTAAGGCCGTACGGGTGGATACCATAATCCTGTCTGTTACAGCTAAAAAGCTCTACTGTTCTAACAATGGATTAGAAAATTAAAGCTAAAACAAAACCGACTAAGAACTCGTATCCCCGTCAAATTAAATAAAAGAAAAAAATCACCAACCGCCATAGCACGGTAGCAGTTTTACTGAAAAAATAGAAAGGTCAAGGAAAAACCCATCAGTCACTTTGCTGCGAGTATTTTTAATATTTTAAGACCACGCCCTTCGATTTGATATAAGGGAAAAAAACTAACAGTTTAATACTAAGAATAGCTAGCTGTAAACGATTTTCTTTGTATTGTAACAGCTTTAGAAAATTCAAATAGGTTGATTGCTTCGCGCGTTTACAATGAAACCTGTTATATTAAAATTTATCAATTACTTTTTTTTGTATAACAAAAAATGTGTTATTCAGCAATTAAAAATTTTATTCCTCTCATCATCAGTCTCCTGCCCTTCTCCCAGTCACCTGGGGGTAGACGCAACATGTTTTCTTCTTCCGTACTCCTCTATCATATACCATTTCTATGCTTACATATATCGTCTTTCACGCAATCCATCCATTTTTTCTTAGGTTTCTGTTCCTCTGAAAATTTTATTTCTGTTTTTATTTATTTACTAGCGACCCGCCCTCGCTTCGCTTCGGAAACATTAAATTTTATTATTGATAGTTGAGTCCCGCGATGTTACCCGCGGTTATTGTCGTACCGCGGGTGACGCCGCGGGGCGAAGCTAGTCTAAAAAAGTAGCCTAAGTTACTCCTTATATCATCAGCTACCTGTCAGTGAAAGTCCCGTCAAAATCGGTCCAGCCGCTCCAGAGATTAGCCGGAACAAACAGACAGAGAATTGAAGGCGCGGTGTAATTGCAATTTGAAAATCCATGAGGAAAATCGCATTACATACTTAATTTTCATGGTCGGTCTAACAGATTTGAAAGTTTTTTTTAATAACCACGGTTAAATTAAAACTAGTTTGACCGTCATTACGGTTGTCTGTCAATTTAATTTTACTAGATGTCCCGCAGTAGTCGAAATTCGACTATAATTAATTGGAATTGTAAGTTTGTACACTATTATGATTGTATTTTATACTTCTATAATCACAAATTTCGCCAAGACTACACTATAAAAAATATTAACCAAGACAAACAATATTAAATCTATTCTCAATTTGACCACAGACGTCAAGAACAAAGTTTGACAATAAATAATATGCATGCATGGGTGCGTCAAATACATGGTATGTAGTGTGTGTGATGTTTTCCTTATTGATTTAATGTATCTTTTATGTATTATTAAAAAAAAATATTAGCATTGTGCACTTCTTCTCTATATTCTCTATAAGTGTGAAAAAATTTCATACTCCTCCGTCCGCGCAATTTTCGAAAAAGGGATACAAAGTTTTTGCTTCACGTATTAATTTAATTTTATAAGAATCAAAAAATAAAACATTATTTTTGTCCGTTTGTAGTAGACTTTTTATAACAAAATTTTATAGACACGATAAATTTGTTGGACCTAAATAAATCTTTAAGCGTGTTACGAAACGTAATTTTACGAGTTACGATCCCCGGGCATACACCGGTGTATCGCTCCCTTTATTTTGTACCTAGTACTTTATTCGCGGGCTTTTATACGTCTCTTAGAGAGCACTCTACTATTTAACACTCTCTTTGTTATAGACTCTAATGTTATACTTCATTACAATTTTCTTTGGCAGCAGAAGTATGTAGTACTCATTTATAAAGTATGAAGTTCAAAAAACAAAATTGCTAATAATAACCACCCCATAAATTCAACAACTAAGTTGTTATCTATACTAATATAATAAAGGGGAAATATTTGTTTGTTTATTTGTATTGAATAGGCTCCGAAACTACTGAACAGATTTGAAAAATTCTTTCACTGTTTGGAAGCTACACTATTCCCGAGTGATATAGGCTATAATCTTTTTTGAAAAAAAAATTGGGATCCTTACTAAAACTCCAAGGTGTAAAAAAATTACCTAAAATATTCATTACATCGCGTGCCCTGCAAAAACTATTGATGATAGAATAAAACTATCTATCACCGAATAGCCGAAACGAATATCAAAGGATCTAGTAAATCATATGTGTAGTTTAAATTTCAGTATAGTTCTAGATAATTGAATAAAGTCGTTCTCATTCAATTGAGGCAAAGGAAACCAGCAGAGGAACACCAAATGAACGGTAATCGAGACATAATGCCCAGATATAATCGACAATTACTACTTTTGTGCCCGATAATAACTTCCCGCCGAGCTCGACCTTGGTACCTCATGAAGCCTTATTGCGTAACTAACGTTATTTATAAACCCCTTTCTGAAGTAAATATAAACATGTGGCGTTGTTTTGTGGGCGGCTTAAACATCATCACTATGTGTTCAATACAATTAACAATAAATAGGTACTAAAGCGATTGAGTCGAAATTACATTATAATCTTAATATCATCTACATAAGTAACTATCTAAAACACTTTCTTCAATTGCGTTTTACTTTCATATTTCAGTAGAAAGGCGTGTGTTGAGAAATTTGAAAACGTTAATATTATTTATATTGGATTCTCCTCAATCCTCCTAATACGTTTGCCTACGAAGTTGCCGTTTTATAATACTGGCCATTTCAAACATTATTTATGTATGTCTGGCAATAAATTAAAAAATCAAATGTATTTTATTTTAAAAGTATGGAATTATATTTTCATATTCAGTCATTTGTTTATTGATTACCTTTCCTTTTCACTGCATTCTTATCTTTTCATTAATCTGGCCATTTCAAACATTATTTATGTATGTCTGGCAATAAATTAAAAAATCAAATGTATTTTATTTTAAAAGTATGAAATTATATTTTCAGATTCAGTCATTTGTTTATTGATTACCTTTCCTTTTCACTACATTCTTATCTTTTCATTAATCTGGCCATATCAAACATTATTTATGTATGTCTGGCAATAAATTAAAAAGTCAAATGTATTTTATTTAAAAAGTATGAAATTATATTTTCAGATCCAGTCATTTGTTTATTGATTACCTTTCCTTTTCACTACATTCTTATCTTTTCATTAATATTGACACGATAAAAATACGACCAACTTATGGAATGCGAGTTCCGTCGCGGCCTGCAATACCGCATACCGGTTCACCAATTACGTGTACGGAGTGACACTACAAACAAACACATGACTAGTTATTAGATTGAACGCTTGCGACATGGAAATTTTCCCTCGGACACAGCGCGGTGAGTTTCTCGCCGGATCTACTCAGTGGGTCGCGTTTCCGATCCGGTGGTAGGTTCTACGAAGCACTGCTCTTGCTAGGGTTCGTGTTAGCAAATTCGCCAGGTTAGAGCCCTGTGAGCTACTCGCTCGGTGTGTCTAGTAGGACCTATCGAAGTCACTAGAATAGGTAGGAAAAAAAACATGCAAATTTTTATTGTAAAAAGTGAACCCCGTGGTCGCCTGAAAACTAAAGTCAACAGCGACGCATTAAAGGCGACAGTAGAGCCGACGCGTTAGTATCAAAACGATATTGGTCCATATATCTACGAATAAATAATAATATTTATTCGTAGCCATATATGCATCAAATGATATTATATTAGATGGTGTATTTATATGTCATTTATAGTTAATAATTATATTATCATTATTGATATTTTTGGTAACTTTAATTGGAACTTGAAAATACCATAACTGCTACTGTTGGCTCTGTATGGAGCACCGAAATCCACATTTCCATCAAATTCACGCGTTCATCAATGAAATCCATCAAATTCAAACGTTTCTCGAAATACCAACGAGTATGTATCTCATGTGGTTGATTTTATGTTCCGTTATTGATAATAGATTATAGCTTATCTATTCTAGGTTTTAATGGAATATAAATAGGTAAACCTAAGTGAGTTTTTACACTAAATAACTCAGGCTAGTCTTATAGACTATTTTTGTTTATGCCAAATGGAAAGTGAAACCATGGTTTTTTTTATTGCTTAGATGAGTGGACGAGCTCACAGCCCACCTGGTGTTAAGTGGTTACTGGAGCCCATAGACATTCACAACGTAAATGCGCCACACACCTTGAGATACAAGTTCTAAGGTCTCAAGTATAGTTACAACGGCTGTCCCGCCCTTCAAACCGAAACGCATTACTGCTTCACGGCAAAAATAGGCAGGGCAGGTCCTATCACCAGTAATGTACCACCAGTAATGTATTCCGGTTGGCAGGTCTCAAGGTGGGCGGGTAACAACTTATCACGAGATGAGCCGTGATATAAAATTACAAGGTCAATGAAATTCACATTGCGTGTTCGCATGATATTTATGATTTCCGATTTAAGGATGGTAATATCA